AATAAAGCACAAATCAAGGTCAAGAGAATACCATAAAATATATTTACAGTACAGGATGGAACAGCAAGCCAGGAACATAAGCACAAACCCCACTGTTCCTACAGCAGTTGTTATAAACTGCTATGCAACAAAACATTAGGCAACCTGCAAGTGTTCAGCAGTTCTTGTTTAAAAACAGTAACTGAAATACTAAGAAAATTCAAAGAATACTCTTAAATCTCTGGAGTACAGATGGATCGATCATATAGCACCCCCTGGCAGACACTTCTTACAGTCAACCGAAAGAACCAAACAGGAGAATTTTCTTCATTTTATCTTTTTATTCCATATTAAAGGAGGATGCAACTATTGGAAGGAAGAGAATGGCAAAGGGATATACTAGCAAACTAGTTAACCCACAGGAATTACAATGATCCAGTAAGGAATTTTGTTGAGCAGTAGCTAAAACAAGTGGCACAACTGAAGATGGATGGAACTAAATTTCATTTTAACACAGTTATTTTAAATGACAAATTAACACCATTTACGCTTCTGTTGAGACTAAAGACTGCTGGTACTACTTCCCATGTACGCCACACGTTGACAGGCAGCAATAAAAAAGGGAAAAAAACAACAAACCATCCATCAACAAAACGTACGAAAGTATTCACCTAGCTTTCACAAAGCAATCTGCATACAGATTTAATGTTTATAATGTTCGTGGCAAAAACTCAAGGTAAACCCTTGCTGGGCACATCAGTCCTTACTGCTTCACAGAAGAGATTGTTTTTTCTCCATCAGACAGTAAATTCACAAGCTACCTAGTAAAATCCCCCAAATCCCTGAGTTTTTCTCCTGATCCCTTTCATTCTCATCCTAAAAGCAAAGAACTAAAACACAGCCTAAGCCGCTGCCCTGAGCGAGTCACTGAACCATGTAGCTCAGTCCCAGAAACATGGCAAACACCTTTCTTACTTCAATAACAGTGAAGCAGAGGAAAGAAGGAGGTACAAGGAAGGCTGGACGAGAGACAGGCCAAACTGATGGACAGGAAGACACAGGGTGTCACTAGAAGTATGGCAACCTGCATGACATCTAGAAACGGCTCTTTCATTAAAGAAATAGAGCAGTCATAGCACAGATGAGAATATCCCTGCATACACAAAATAAAAATCACTATTATGGTTAAAAAAACAGAAAATGAAGTGGGAGTAAATGGCCTGTTACAAGTCAAATGCCAAACCAACACATAGTAGCACCTACTCTATACAAAATAATGATGTGATTTTACTGATGGTACTAAATTATTCAAGTTAATAAGGCCAAGGACTGGATAGAAGAACAGAAAGATTCAGAGTCCACGACTTGACAATAAAACAGATTTTATTCAGCAAGTCTCAAAATAATGAAAAAGAAGTAGTTCTTCAAATAACCCATAGTTGAGCTGCAAATGTTTTTGCAGATGCTAGAAATTAATATGGGCTCCAGAGAAAAGGACAATTTATTGGCACAAAATACCACTGATCATTTCCATGTACCAATACTGACCCAGGAGTTTAGATTCTAGGACAGCAAATGAGGCAAGAAACAGGAGGTACATATTTGCTCTGTTCTTTTCTTCTTTCTTAAGCACTGCTTTTGGCTAGCCCTGGATTCCAGTTATTGAGCAAGGTGCTCCTGTTTATATGTAATAGAGCTCAGTGAAGTGCTTCAGGTCCCTTTCATCTCACTAGAGTTAGGGGTACAAACATGCTGCATGAGTTACCATCCTTCTCCTTCCCTTTAAAGATTATATACTTAAACAGCCCTATGTTAAGTCAAGTAAGACAGTACTCAGCAGCACTAGCTGTGCAGTAACTTGGTGTTTTGGCAACAAATATTTGATTAAGTCAGCCATAGTTTCAGATATTAACACCAGTGATCTAACAGAACTCCTTTGTGTTATTTCAGTCAGATTTCCTATGAAGTGCCATAACTACTGTCTGTACAAATAAAATGTCTTAAAGCTGTTAACCCTGACCTCCAGTTTGATGCCAGAGTCACGTCTTCAGCTTTCTGAGCTGCTGAAAAATTAACTTCTCCTTTCAAATCCAACTGTACAAAGTACATCTACCTTCACACGATATACAAAGTTTACACATTCATAACCAGACAGGGCTGATGGCACCAGCCATCAAAAACATCTAATGATAAGATGCTCTCTTATACCACATTATCTTTGCCAAATCACCTGCTTCTCATCTACTGTAGGCTAAAATTAAAAACTAAGATAAAAATGGCTCAGTTACTGCTACTAATAATTACTACTTAGTATTACTAGTGCAAGTAGAGATATTGACAGTTGAAGCTGTACCTAACATTTATGTTGCTGATTTAGAACAAAGCACACTTTTTACATCTACAAGAGGCTGTGTGATACAGTAAGTTAGTTTCCAAGCAGCAATTACAGTGTTAGCACTCCTATTGCTTTCAAATCAGTCTTTCTTACATAAGGTAACAATGTGTAAGCATAACATAGCACAGGCTCTACTATGGGCAGAAATTAATGATTTCAGCCTTCTGGCAGCATGTAGGCAATGCAAGATCACATTTCAATAAAAACAAGAAACAAAAAGCCAGTCACTACACTGGAAGCCAGCAGATTTCTCCAAAGAGAAGAAATCCCATTTCCTCACACACTTGGCAAATCAAGGAAGAGGAAGTAGGTGAGCCTTGACATAACCACGTTCAACAAGGAACGTGGTTTAAAACTTCATTTCAGTTTGGTGCCCGAATACTTTGATAGTTATCAGAGAATTATGGAGTGTGAACACAAAGCTGATCATTGTAACTGATCATACAGACAGCTCCATCACTGCAAAACCAACCACACAATACCACAGAATTACAGCACACAGAACATTTCTCTTCCAGGAAAAGGGAGAGAGAATAATGTGCTTTCAAGAATATTTTTTCCACGTGCAGCACAAAGAAGCCAAAACATGTGCACCTAGTTCTTGTTGTTAATACCTGCTCCAAGTATATGTCTAAGGTTTGGGCTAAGGTTTCTATGTGTGCTTTTTGTTGCTACTGTTAGTAAGTTACCCTGATGTTTACTAATTATTTTGGCACTGCATTTTGCAGAGCTGCTCAACAATCAAATTATTTCCAGTTAGTTTACCTCAGATTCTCCACGAAAACTTTACCAGAGCACTTGTAGCAAGCATAATCAAAAACTGTGATTATTCAGTAAAATCAAGTGTACTAAAATACTAGGGAAAAGGCCAATTTTTAAGTTGCTCAGGCAGTATATATAAACCTGACTGGAAGTGGAGTGTGTGTCTGGGTTGGAGAGTAAGAGGTAATTGGCAACTTACATACCAATATTTAATACTTTTTTAATTGATATTGCAACAGGAAAAGGCTTTTCTGCATTGGCTTTGGACAGAATTAATTTGAGAATTCCAGTAATCGTTTTAAAAGGAATTGTTCTGATAAATAGATAAATGCTGAGAGTACCATAAAAACAAATTAGTGATGTTTTGAAGCTAGCCTGTGATCAGTACACATGCTGAGATTATTCTTCCGATGTTTCTCCAGGATAAACAGTCTGTACTAGGTAAAGCAAAACTGCAATGGCCATCCTTATTTTCAAGCTGTAACACATGGATTTCTTCTAAGGTACATTTTACTGACTACAAGAACATTTGTCAATTAATGTCAGTTCTAATCATCCCTATTAGAACAGCAAGGGTTTGATACTAGAAATAGCGTAAACTCCAGTGCATGCAAACAGAGCTAATCAAGAGACCCTCCTTTTGGAGTATTTCCTACACATAAGTAGCAAACACTTTCTAAAAAAACTCCTTTATGGGTTTTTCCTCTTTTGTAAAGTCACAGAAATAAATCTGTTCTGCTCAACTGAGCCCAAAGGTTGTGCTGCAAATGCTGTTCTGGACAGAAAATGGATGGAGCAGCACTTTCAGTCATGTCAGAGTGAAAAAATCAAAACTTTCTGTTCAAAATGAAATGCAACATGAATATGTATGAAAATTGGCATGATGTAGTATAACATTGCTACTCTTTCAGGAGTTACTTTTGAGCACTGAGTATCAGCAACTTTGAAACACAAATTCTGGGTGTTTATCTACATTTAGAACTGCACACAATGGCAGATATAGATTTCCATGTCTCCTTTAGAGACAACTTACATATTTTATGCACTGATGTTTATTTTGTAAAATAAAGAAATACTGTGCAATCTTCTTGGCAATGAGCTCTGACTTTCTACCTGAACAACTTCAACAGGAAATACAGGGCATGCTCTCACCTATAGCAACCTGCAGACTAATGGTAATGGCACTTTCCAACAGGGTGGGGACTGAGAAGCCCATGAGTACATGCACTAATTTTCAGTCTTGTCTGTAGAAGGTTTAACAATCATTTGATTAATTTGAAGAAAAAGAAGGTTTTTGTAAGAGATCTGGCAGCTCTAAGGATACAGTATATTTCGACTTTATGTGCAAGACTTGATTAATTCACCATATCAGATGAAACAAACTCTACCTAAGTTGTTTTATTTGTCTGTCACTTTATTAAAAACAAACAAAACCCAGCCTGTTTATATTATGATGGATGGAATTATAAAACCTAGCAGGCAAGTCAGCACATACTGAATTCAGATACATGGCTAGTTGGTACTTTTTGGATCCAAAAAGGTTCACAACTTGGGCTGTTAGAGAGTCTGCATTTTGGTTAAAAATAAATAAATAAATAAATAACACTCTTTCATTGGATTTAATCCGAGAATCACAAATGCACTTCAATTAGATGTTGCTAAAAAGCAGCTAAAGTAACAGTTTTTAATTTTTACTATTTTCATACTTAATAGAAAATTATTAAACTTAATCATCCTTATACATCATAGTATCATATGCTAGTTGAACTTTAAGGAAAGTGAAGTGACGTACACCTCAGAATATGAGGCACTGTTTAAAATTATTCTGTCCTGTTCTTCCTACTCACACCACCAGATTACTCACTTGTAGCCATGATACCTGGAGGACATGCTGGTATCCCGTGATCAACTGCCCATCTGAAAGCTCCTTCACCAACTAAAAAGCTAGGAGACACAGAAGAGGGAGTTTAAATAAAACCATATAACAAATCCCCCTTTTCTTGCAATTAGTATTTTCTCTTTGGTTTGGTCATTTTAAAACTGTACACTGTCTGCATTTCACAGAAGCGTCAGCTATAATTACAATTGGCACCCTTACTTGGTTTCATTAAAACACTACATAGCTCTGACATTAAGTTCACTATTGAATAAAAACATGTGCTATTAAATTTGAAACAAATTACCAAATTGCATCAGTTCTTAACTGCAGCTAAAACAGCACGAAGCCATCCAGGAGTCTTGTAACAACTGAATAAGATTCTGAAGACTAACAACACGGGGATGAAAGAAGTGAGAATGGCAAGTTAGAGTGAAGTTAGCCAATGCCACTAGAATATCAAGAATTACTTTGAGAGATATGACAAGCTAAAAATAAGCTTAATTTAGATTCAGAAATGAAAGTCTATCTCATGGCGTTTTATTAAGCACTTCCAAATGAGACAACTCCACTGAGTATTTAACATACTTGTGGAAGAAAGAAACAAATTTGAGAAGTCATTCTGTAGTCAGTACTGAATATTTTACAGCAGTGAGACAGTATACACTGTTGTGACAGTGAATGGTGGCAAAAGATACAGATATGCAGCTTTTAGGAAAAAAGAAATGCCTCAATTATTTATACCATTTCCCTTTAGATAAATTAATCTGATTCCCCCAAAAATTGAACATGGTTGGAAATCACGTCTTCAGAAAGTTGATGAAAAACAGCAACAGCAGTAGCAACAAAATAAAGAACAATTATTTCTAATCTCTACTTCCTATCTCCCTTTGGAAACAAGAATACCATAACTACACAATGGTTACAAGAAGAAAAGACTGAGGACACACAGCAATTTCAAAACGCTTTAGAGGAACACCTGATTTACGAAAGTGAGACTCAAAGTTATGTAAGCTGCACAGAAGTCTCTTGGGCCACATAATACTATCAATCCCTAGAACAGTGCTGCTATAGAAAACTTGTTGGCATTACTCCTGTTGCAAGTTTTCTTGATAGCATTGTATCCGACACTTGCAGCTTTTAATATGTAGTATTTTGCAGCATTATTTTCCATCTTCCCTATGACATAACCACCATAAGAGATGTTTTCAGTCTTTGATTAAAGAAGATTTTTAAAAAAAAGCTTCTCTAGATAAGAATTTGAATTGTTAAAACATACTTCTTTCTACTGTTAGCACAGCTCCGGAGGAATATTTTTCATGCTGCAAGATACTGCAGAGCAAGTTACTGGGTACTTGGAAAATATCTCCTTTTAAATAAGGTAATTATCAAGAAACAACCTCTCACTCACAGTAGCATCCAAGAGAAACACAAGTTGTAGCCAAACTGCGGTAAATAGTAGTCTCCATTGATTAAAAAAAGTTTCCCATCAACTACACGCTCTCAAGAAGTGAACAAGTGTTTCCTGTCCAGTAGAGTAATTTACACAGAGCAAAAGTGTAGGTGGAAAAAAGGAGAATCACAGAACCCTTAGAGTTGGAAGGGACCTTTAAAGCTCATCTAGTCCAACTCCCCTGCAATGAACAGGGACACCACAGCTAGGCCAGGTTGTCCAGGGCCCAATCCAGCCTCGCCTTGAAAGTCACCAGGGATGGGGCATCAACCACATCTCCAGGCAGCCTGTTCCACTGCCTCACCACCCTACCGTAAAAGACTTCTTCCTTATATCCAACCTAAATCTACCCTCTTGAAGCCATTTCCTCTTGTTCTGTCACCACAGACCATGCTGATGAGTCTGTCCCCTCCTTTCCTTTAGCTCCCCTTTAGATACTGAAAGGCTGTTCTCAGGTCACCTTGGAGCCTTCTCTTCTCCATGCTGACCAGCCCCAACTCTCTCAGCCTGTCCTTGTAGGAGAGGTGTTCCATCTGTGGGATCATTTTTGGGGCACTCCACTGGATGTGCTCCAGTACTACAATCAGATATTATGGGTCTAATATATGATAACTTAAATAGCACAAATCAGTCAGAAACCTTTCATTTTCCTGACACCTCATGATTGCTTGTTTTACACTCAGAGATATATAAATAGTCACAAGTATTCCGAGTACAAAAAGAAGCACCCAGAATGTTGAAGATGCACCAACATTTAAGTAACGTGACTCTTATTCTGCTCACACTTGTGTCCATAATTCCCAGATTCATTTCCCTCATACCAGGTGGACACAAAATACTTTCCAGTTCTGATTCCAATGAATAGCTACATTAGAGAAGCAAACACTTGCTGATATCTCACTGAGGCCTCCTTTCACCACAGAAATCACCCACTCTTTTTTTTTAATTTTATTTTAATCATTCAATTTCAGATGTCTTGAAAATACAACATAATCACAAGAGAGTTAGAATAATAAAAAAATCAAGACCTCAGTAGTTGTTACCTGTACCACCTGTACCCTATCCTCCAAACTGATGGAGACATTTGGTAAGAGAATCCTATGGGACATACGGTGTGAACTCAGATCCACCAAGTAGCCAAGTATTTATAATCAGAACAAGATTAAGCAATCTTTGTATTACCCAAACAAGCAACACAAATAATTGTAACAGACACAGATGGTAGGATGGTGCGAGGGTGGGAACCAGCAGTCATGCACTAGGGAACTACTGCAGGCCCATGGGAAATGTCCATGTACTCATGGAGAAGAGCTGCAGCAGGCAAGAATGAACGGGTAATACTCACAGCTGGCATAAAAATAAAACTTAACAGCCAAGTTCATAAAACTTAAAACAACCAAGCTTGATTAGTTGGGGGAGAGGAAAAATCGAGAATAAATTCAGTGGGCTATACAAAGCAGCCAAAGCCCCACCAAGTCTCAAAAGCTTTTAGACCAGTTCAAAATACAATTTTCCAAAGGAAAAAACAATCAAAAAGATGAATGGCTTTGCTGCTCTGAAAGTTGGTTCTACACAAACGAGATAAAAGTTCATTTCATCCATCTGTAAGAAAGATGAGTACTCTGTAGTTGTTACGAGCTCAAAACACAAAGAAGTTGAAAAAGTTCTCCCCAATAAGAAGGTGGTGTTCAGATCTGCTTTCCAAATACAGGAAAAGCGGAGCAAATTAATTGAAAATAGAAAATAACTCTAAAAATGGCCCTTCTAGGCAAGTTTTCACAAGAACGTGGTTATCCTGATGCCTGTTTGATGTAAAGAGCAGCCCTTAATATGGGCTGTATGAAGACAAGCTACACTGAGCTGAATAGAAGCAACAGTAGAAAGTTAGGTTTACTAAAGATGAAGGTGATCCTAAATGTAACAAACTCATTTTGTAATGTTTATTCTAAAATGCAGCTCTCACTCTGAAATCACTTTTACACAGAAGATGCAGATCAGAGATAAAAATTGGTACAAGTCTTCAACCCTGGCACTTTCTTGACTATGCTCCTCCCTGCAAGTTACTCATATCCTGCAAGTTACACATATCCCATCTGTGGCACTACATGTGACGAGAATAAAATGATTGCAAAATGCTGCAGTAACCAAAGGGGGAGAACATACAAACATGGGATTCTTTCTCGTAAAGATTAATACTGAAAAAAGGGACACTAACATGTACTTTGAAATCAATAGTATCAAGGAGTTCTAAAAAAGTAAGATGGTTAGGTCTATTTGTACCATCTTGCAATTCTTACATAGCTGAAGTATGAGCAAGCAGTTCTAAATAAGCTTTTCTGCCTTTAAGAAACATATGAAATAGAAGAAAACTTTAAAGCTGTTACTAGAAAGCAACTAATCCATTATTCTGGGACCAAAGACCACTCCCAATGATCCATCCAATACGTAACCAAGCAACTGTAATTGTGGTCTAAGTCATACAGTGATCAAGAATGTCTTACAGGACAACATGTAACACTGAAGAGTTTGGTATTTTCTACTCCTTCATACAGAGGTAGAGAACATTCTGACAGCGTCAGTCTGAATAAACTGTGAGAGAAGGTTCAAGGACCTTAGAACAGCTGTAACAAATGCATGCTTACGTGTGGGAATTCTCTATGTTTGAATTTTAATTTGCACAGTAGGACTGTGTTTTAAACCAGAAGAGGAGATACTGTTCCAGAATAACCCACACGACAGAGCAATTCACAGTAAACTACATACATATAGCAATCAGGACACCTGGTGACTCCTTCCCAATGAACCTACCATCTCAGAATAAACTAGTTCACACTCACTAAAATTACTGAAAATCAGAGAAGTACCATTTTGAATTGTCCCTATACAAATGGGTGCTGAATGGTGGTAAGCAGGCCAAACTAACTGTCTCCAGCTGTTCTTTTGCAGACAAGACTCTCCACAGTGCCACTGTCACTAATCTCACAGTCAGAGAATTTCTCTCACGTGGTCCCGTGCCAAACATTCTGGTGAGAAAACATTAAGCTAAGTTAGATGGTGCTACAGAAGCTGTCTATACCAACAGGTTTAATTAGCAAGACGGATTCTTAGGCTTTGCAGTTTCTTTAAGAGACTCCCCACCACAGTATTTGCCCATGAGAAAAAAGATGAAACTTTCACATCTTTACAAATAAAAATCAGTTATTAAAACCTAACTCTTGGGAGGAATGACAATAATGCAGCTGTTTCTTGCTACTTGATGACATATTTTTTCAGCTTGCGCAGCAATGTATTTCACTCCCAGATCAAAAATATGTTACACCAAACCCTGCCAAAAAGGCAAGGCATGAAATTGTCAACAATCATCACCTACAATGAACATAAGATCCATTCCAAACTTGCGATGCCCTGAACATACAGGAGCATCTATTAAAGCATTACAGTGCTACAGATTGTTTCCAAGCTAGCTACCTTTTTTTCTATTAAGATACATATTCCAAATTCAAAACAGAGAAGAAATGAAAATACACATAGGGTAAATAAGGCCCAAAACGTTGGCTCTGAAGTCAACAGTTCACACTTGGAGAGCTTTAACTCCCTTGTCTTATGAAGTGCCTGTTAGCCAAGACAGTGCTAAAACAGTGTTTGAAAGATTTTGTCTCGTCCTTTGAGATGAGGGGATACAGTTTATGTTTCATTCAGTTATTTTAAAAATAATAGCTACAAACATAAACTAGGTCATGAAGTTACAGAAAACACGCTAAATTAGGACACAACTATCCTAGGTGCTCTTCCCTGCCACGATTACAGACAAAAGTAAAACACAAATGCTCGCTTCTAGTTCTGGAACACGAATGAAAGGAAAGGAAGAGAAGGGGAGAGGAGGGAAGTAGGGAAGGGACGGAGGGAGGGAAGGGAGGGAAGCAAACAGAACCAAAACCACAACAACCGCCTTTGACACCCTCTTTAATGTAACTGGATAAGCCCTAGCTTTTTCCAGATATCTGAAGAAATAAGCCACTGGCACCAACTAATATTTAAGTTCATATCCCTTGGTAAACTTCTCTGAAAAAGAAGTTCTCACTATGATTCCTCTTCCTTTAATAAAGAAAACAAAAATGCAAAATCTGCTTGTTGGTGTGTTGGTTTTGGGGTACTTTTTTCACTCTATGACCTACCTTTGCAGTATTATGGACACTGCAATAGTTCTTTTCCTCAGTGTATAAACTGGAATACCAGACTATCCAGATACAGACTGACTATGGGGACACTTCTACAGAAAGAAGTATGAACAGTAAAATTTCTAAATCAAATATACATATTTCAAACAACATAAGTGCTGACTTAATACATCTGCAAATACTGCAATCTCTCAGCAAACAGCAGCAGATTTCCCCAACAGGTATAACTGAGGCAACGGCTTCAGTTCAAGCTTCCTGCTGGTTGATTTGAACTGCTAACAAAAATAAGATGCTTCCAAGATTAGTCAGTTCCAACACAGTTCTTGGACACTTTCCAAATATGATACAACAATATTTAAAGTTCTTATGCATTTAACAGTTTCCTCTTTCAAACTTACATCAGTCTCAATAAAGCACATTTTCAGTGTTGTCATACATGCTAACAAGTTTATATTTAAAATAGTTTTTAACTAAACACTGCGTATTTCCACAATTCAGTTTCAAAATAAAGGCACAAAGCCAGTTAAGTTTATGTATTTTTTAAAGTTGTCAAAAGCAAAGGCTGCAGAACTTCATTTTAATTTTGCTGCATTTAGAGATTTTTCAAAACGATATAACAAAAACTTAAGAATTCACACAGAATCACAGAATTGCAGGGTTGGAAGGGACCTCAAGAGATCCTCAAGTCCAACCCTCCTGCTAAAGCAGGTACCCTCCAACAGGTCACACAGGAGGCATCCAGCCATGCCTTGAATATCTCCACAGATGGAGACTCCACAACCTCTCCAGGCAACCATTCCAGTGCTCTGCCACCCTTATTACAAACAAGTTCTTCTGCATGTTTGTATGGAACTTCCCGTGTCCAAGTTTTAGGTCACTGCTCCTTGTCCTATCGCCATATACTGCCAAGAAGAACCTGACCTCATCCATCTGCATCCTACCTCCCTTTAGATATTTATTAATATTAATCATTCATTCGGCATGACATAACTTTGGAAGCAGTCACCTTGACACAAAACCCCACAAGGTGATATCTCTATCTATCCACAACAGTTCTACTCACAGCTGCATCGAAGGCACACTGAGTTTCAAGATCTGAGAAGAAAACGTTGCTTCTTTTCAAAAGGATGTAATGTAAAACAGCACAAACCTCCGTTGGATAAGACAAAGCCTTCAAATATTGCATGCAGTACAGATATAAGACTAAAGTAAAGTCAAGCAGAACAAAGCAATTACCAAGGTGGAATTCTGCCAGCAGAGAGTTTTCCTTTCTGCCCTTCACACAACAATCTATTTGCAACTGAAACTGGATTCTTGATTCCTGAAAAATCAGCAAAAAACGGGAACAAACCATTAAAATATTTTCCATGCAGTACTATGGGGTTCATTTTGGCAATGGAAGTCAGCTTCCTTTCATTTCCAGTGCTTCAGTAATTCAGTAAGAGACACACTGTGATGCTGTTTTTCAGCTTAATACATTAAATCAGTTGTTCCTTCTCGTGGCCTATCAGTGGTAGCAAGACTTTCTAATCAACATTTGGTTTTGTTTTTTAAAGAAAGAAGGGTATTGAAATATTAGGAGTGACTCCCTACCACAGAAATCTCAGAATTAAAGCAGTGGTGTTCTACAGACCAAAGATGTTTTATGAGTATTAATTTTTCAAGATGGAAAAAGCTTTGTTTGGATCTATCTGGCCAGAACAGGGATTATAGGATTCAGGCTTAGCTTTTTCTCACTCCCTCATTTCCTCCTTCTCCATGGTTGGAAGGATACATTTCGTAACAAGTAAGCCTTGAAACACTTAATTTTACTATTTATTTTAGATCTATATCTACATGAGGAAGTTATTAACACAGTTTAGAACTATCCTAGGATAAAGAACAAAGGTTGAAACGTTTTCAGAAAAGCTATTCAATAGTATTCCAGAGTAACAGTTAAGGCTCTCAAGTACTTATGACAAAAGTTCAAGGATCCCTGCTTGGGACTGTTTTGTACTGAAAGGTAAAGCTTGGCAAAAGAAAAAAAAAATGAAAGGCACATTAATTCTCAGATTAAATAAGTGCTATATGCATGTTCATGTAGCCTTGTAATAGTTTCACAAATTAGAAATCCAAATGTTATTGATCCCATGAGAGGATTATAATGAAAAAAACTACACTACAGAGGAATTTTATGTCGGGGCAAACAGCTTGACAGATCAGAAGCTGCAAGAATAAAAAGCAGCCCTAGTTTAGAGGCTGTGTACCTTTGTAACACTGCAAAGGAAACCTTAGTTCCTCAGTACTTCAATTTGACCAATCAAGCTAAGAGATTCTATGACTGAATTACGTAACAGTAAATTCTTCAAGGAGCCTGGAAACAAAAACAAATACTGTCATCTGAATGCTTGTATTTTATATATATGCATTTTACTATAAGGTTACAATTCTTCAAAGCCCTCTGAGAAAACACACACCCTCTGAGTGAATGAATTCTTCATCATGCAAATTCATCATTCTGCAAAGGACTACCAGTGAACTAAGACAGTGCACTGCAACATCACTAAGCAGTATTTCAGGACAGGAGGATGCCTCCCTCTCCCTTTTGTTTGTTTACAGAGGGAAGAATTCATGAAGTGGGGCTACAATGGCATTCCCTCCAAAAACTTCACAAAAAAGAACAAAATTAGTCTTTGCACTTCAATCAGTAGCTTGCTTTATAACACATAGTTAACATACCGCTCAGTGCGCCAACTGCTCCAAAATTCAGTGACTTCCCATCCATTATGCTGGCATCGCATTCTATCTCACCCAGAAGGTTTAAGTTAGAACCCATTCCTGCATTTGTAAAAGGAGAATCCTGAAAATATAAACAAAGCACCGTGATGCCACAATCAGATCAAATTTTATCAAAACCTCTGCATAATTAATATGATGACAGTGATGTGTTATAGTGTACATTCTTGCTGCAGTACTTTAAATATGCCACAGCAACATCAGAACAGAGCAATTTGCTATGTTTATTTTAAATTACTACGATGGAAACCTTACAGTCTCTTCTGTGTGATACATCTCAAGAGCAATAACGTGCTAATATAAATCACAATCACACAACGATTTCAGATAATCACTTATTTGTAAGTAAAAGCCTTACAATACGAGCAAATATCTCTTCCACAGAGACCACAGTTTACCTCTGACACTCTCAAGTATGACACAGGAGCAAACAGAACTGTATGTTTTGTTAAAATCATAAGCCTATGATTACAGCCTTGCACACAGAATCACAGAATCACCAAGGTTGGAAAAGACCTTCAAGATCATCCAGTCCAACCATCCACCTATCACCAATAGCTCTCACTAAGCCACTTCCCTCAACACAAAATCCAAACATTCCTTGAACTCCACCACCTCCCTGGGCAGCTCATTCCAGCACCTGACCACTCTTTCAGACAAGTAGTATTTCCTAACATCCAGCCTGAGTCTCCCCTGGCACAGCTTGAAGCCACTCCCTCTAGTCCTATCACCAGTTACTACAACCTCCCTTCACATATTACAGAGAGCAATAAGGTCTCCCCTGAGCCTCCTCTTCTCCAGACTGAACATTCCCAGCTCCTTCAGCCACTCCTCATAAGGCCTGTGCTCCAGACCCCTCACTGGCTTTGTCGCCCTTCTCTGAACCCACTCCAGGGCCTCGATGTCGTTGTTGCAGTGAGGGGAAATGAGATGAACAAGGCTTCACTGTGCAAAATTTCTATTTAAACACTAACACAAGCACCATCGTTACCATGGTACGAAGGTTTTTCAAACAACAAATCATACTTCCCATAGAGTACCAAGCAACTTTTAGTAAGCATCCTGGTTAAAAAGTAAGCCACCTTTTATTAGCTCTGCCTGTAGCTCTTACTGATCCAAGTTTCTCAAATAAGAAGTGCTGCATGTTGGATTTAACATTACACCTTTGTGCAGATGCATGCTGCCCACGTGCCAAGATGCCGACCTTGGAAAGGTGGCAGACCACAAAGCAGCAGCAGGTTTAGCCGACTGCTAACTCCAGACTACAGCAGTTACACCATCACTTAGGTATCTCAGGCTTACAACCTAAAACTGTAGTAAGGAGACGATACAAAGCGTCAAGACATGGAACAAGAATTTCATTTTCAAATATGAGTTCATCTCATAAAAACTCTTAAGCGCTACTGAGGATATCGTTTTCAACTCAGAACCCTTCTTCCTTCAAGATGTATTTTAAAATGTTCTGGCAGCAATACAGGCGTACTAAAGCTGTGGTTAATGGGGAAAGCTTGAAAAAGTTGCTCAATATGAATAATCCAGAATTACATCTAGACAAATAGTTAAACTGCTCTGTTTTTGACATGCATTAAAGAGCACCCCATCCATCTTTGATACAGTTTTGGTCAAGGTTTATTTGCAACTTCTAAAAGGATTTCAAAGCCTACTGGCATTTCTTTCTACACACTGTTATTACAAAATTCTTCTGTGGGAATTCAGTAACAAGAAGTAACAGTCTACTAGGGTGAGTCAGGTCTCTTTTAATCAAACCAGTTAAAATGTTTTTCAAGAACACTTTTGTCGTAATCTACCGTTAGTCACTCTGCTGCAAAACATCAAATAGCAAAGTCTTTAACTAGAATTAACAACTTCCAGTTCAACATTCATTTGAAGTTCACCTATGGTGACTGCCTTACTACAACAATGCTGCTGGCCTTGTGCTTTCAGCTTCAAATGCATACACTTGGGATTAAGATTCCATATTTTGAAATCCTACTTACTCTAAAATTAATATTAAAAAAACAACAAACGAGAGACAAATTATCTCATTGCAAATTTTGCTTTCCATTCCTTTGACTGAGACATAACAAAAAATGCAAATAGAGCAACTTTATGAGCAAGGATACCCAAACTCAAAATGCGAAAACCACTTTCCATAATCACATCGATCCCCAATTTAAATGATACTCACAAAGAATGTTCCACAGAAGACAGATGGAAGAGCCAAGCAATGAACACACAGTATGAATAAACTTAGGCTGCACTAAGAGAAAGTTGAAAATTTTCATCTACAACAAACTTTGTTCTTGCTTCCAATACCTGAACATTAGAATCTCTGAAGTGCTCCGCACTCAAAGAAAAGCTTGAAACTGCACATTGTTCCTCTAGCCAGCTGTAAATTCAATCAGCATGTGGTTCTGTTGTAAACTGCAGCTTTTAAAAGAAAAGAAATATCTGCCCAAATCCCTTTATGTTTCGAGAGGAATTCAGACTTCATATGGTGGCAGACAAAAGCATAAAAACAAACGGTTCTGGGATCGTGAATACAGCTCTGAGATCAAGCAGACAGTGTAAATGATGAGCCTTATGAAGCACCTTGTCCAGAACTATTTGATTATCAAAAGCTGAAAGAAGAAACATGTTCATTTATTTCTCCGCATTGACAGAGTTCACAAACTAGAAAACATAACTGCCTTTATTCAACTTACGAAATACAGCTGATGCTCATGCAAACCAGCACCATTATTATAACAGTATTCTGGGTCAGGCATTCAAGTTGCTTTGCACAAGTAATCTACTTTTTCCTCTAACAACTATTAGCATTAATTATACCTTCATCTATTCCCTATTTCACTTGAGATTCATAAAGTCCAACAAAGAAAGGCTGCTCACTCTACATTTGGAGCCTGCAAAAATAAAACAAAAAACAGACAGCATACCGCAAGTAAACTGTCAGCTTGCTCATAAAAGATCAAGAGCAAGTCTTGCGCCTCTCTAAGTCTTTGAAGTGATGCCTCTTGGATTAGATGAAATTCTGTGTAATAGGAGTTGTGTAATTGAGCGGAACTGAGGGAAAAAAATCATCTTTTGCAGCATTTCCATGAAAAGATGCGTGTGTCTTTCAAAGGCTACAGAGTTTTGGAATATAGCATTAAAAATTCTAACAAAATGTAAAAGTGATTAAATATTTCAGATAAATTCACTGTACTGTGTTCTATATCAACCAAATACCACCTAGGACAATTATAAAAACAGACAGTAGAATGATGGCAGGCATCACCAGAACAGCAGGCAAGACTGAAAAGGAGAAAAAGTTTGCCGATCAGATTAATTCTCTAAATATGCTTTAATTTCATCTTACAGCCATAACATCATACAGATGTCACTTCAGAATATTTAAATATACTACAGCAAAAGAAGGTTCTCTCGGGGGAAAGCAAAACCAGAAAATAATTTACCCTAGGCACAGCTGAAAGGAGACGTACAGCTGTCCAGCCAAGTTTCTTAAAATGTGTTTTCTTTTATGTAGCTCAGGAATATGATAAAAACTACAGCACAAAAGAGAAAATATTTTCCACAGAGGTGGGAGCCTCATCACAAAAGAATCTTGAGGAACAAGAGCAGATTCTGTTAGCTTATTCATGTATGTGATTTATAAGATTGGTTTTCATGAGCAAGTCGAAAGCCGATGGGTGACATTTAAAGCCTGAGGCAGCAAAGGGAGCCCTGCTACAGGCCACCCGATCAAGTGGAGCCTGACAGTGAGGCCTTATACCTCCAGATACAGAAGGCGTTGCGATTGCAAGCACTCATCCTGCTGGGGGACTTAATCACCCAGACATCTGCTGGAAAAGTAGCAGGGTGAGCTGTAGGCAATCCAAGAGGCTCCTGAAATGCATTGAGGATAACTTCCTGAGTCAAGTAATAGAAGCTCTCACCAGAGGGGATGCAGTACTGGACCTGTTGCTCACCGATGCAAGTGAACTGACTCACACATCAGGATTGGAGGCTGGTAGTGACCATGCTATGGTTGAGTTCATGCTCCAGAGTGATATGAGATAAGTAAAAATTAGGACGTTATATTCTAGCAAAGCTGACTTCCAGCTCTTCAGAAAGTGGGTCAACAAAACACCCTGGGAAACCGTCCTCATGGGCAAAGATGTGTAGGAAAGCTGGCATATTTTTAAGGAAGCTTTCCTCAGTACGCAGGAGCTCTCCATCCCCAGGTGCAGCAAGTCAGGAAAGGAAGGCAGGAGATTGGCATGGCTGAACCAGGACCTGCTGGTCAAACTGGTGAGCAAGAAGAAAACGCACAAGCAGTGGAAAAAGGGGCAGGTACTGTAGGAAGAGTATAAAAAAGCTGCTGGGCTGCGTAAGGACAGGATCAGGAATGTCAAGGCTTGAACTAAGCTTGGCAAGGGACGCCAAGAAGAACAAGAAAGACTTCTATAAGTACTTCACCCAGAAACGGAAAGTCCAGGAGGGCATACTCCCCCTAGTGAGTGATGAAGGTAGGCTGGTAACAACAGACAAGAAGACTGAGATATTTAAAAACCTTTCTTCTCAGTCATCTTCTCTGATAACTTCTTGTCACACAGCCCTCAAATTTTGGTAGGAGGGACTGGGGAAGCAATGTTCCTCCCACTTTAAGAGAAGATCAGGTTTGTGACCACCTGAGGAAACTGAACATCCACAAATCCATGGGTCCCGAGGAAATGCATCCCAGAGTGCTGAGGGAATTAGCTGATGTAGTTGCCAAGCCACACCAAATGGTACTTGAAAAGGCATAGTATTCAGGTGAAGCCTCTGGTGACTGGAAAAAAGGCAACATCATATCCATTATTAAGAAGAGTAATAAGGATGACCTTGGGAACTACCATCCTATCTGCCTCATCTCTTGTGCCAGAAAAGATTGTGGAAGCTATGCTATGACACACGGAAGATATGGAGAGACAGAAGAACCAGCATAGTTTCACCAAGGGCAAATCCTGCTTGACCAACCTAGTGGCTTTGGATGATGGTGTCACTGCGCCAATGGACAAGGGAAGAGCCACTGATGTCATCTATTGGAGCTCAGTAAGGCCTTCAACACGATACCCCACAACATCCTTCTCTCTAGATTGGAAAGATATGGATTTGATGGGTGGACTGTTCAATGAACGAAGAACTGCTGCAGGATCAAGTCCATAGAGTGGTGGACAATGGCTCAATGTCTGGATGGAGACTGGTGACAAGGGGCGCCTCACAGGGGACCAATACTCCTTAACATCATCGATGATACTGACAGTGGGGTCAAGTGCACCCTCAGCAAGTTCATTGATGACACCAAGCTGTGGGGTGCGGTCAACACACCAGATGGACAGGATGCCATCCAGACGGCACCTACAGAGGCTCAAGCAGAGGGCCAGGAGAACCTCATGAGGTTCAACAAATCCAAATGCAAAATCTTGCACCTGGGTCAAGGCAATCCTCACCACCAATACTAGCTGGAGGATGAAAGGATTGAGTGCAGCCCTGCCGGTAAAGAGTTGGGGGTACTGACAAGCTGGACATTAGCCAGCAATGTGCCCTCACATCCCAGAAAGCCAACTGTACCCTAGGCTGCATCAAAAGAAGGGTGGCCAGCAGGCCAAAAGAGGTGATCCTGTCCCTCTACTCTGTACTGGTGAGAATTCACCTGGATTATTGCATCCAGATGTGCAGTCCTCAGCACGAGAGACACGGACCTGCAGAAGCACATCCAGAGGAGGGCCCCAAAAATGATCCCACAGATGGAACACCTCTCCTACAAGGACAGGCTGAGAGAGTTGGGGCTGGTCAGCCTGGAGAAGGGAAGGCTCCAAGGTGATCTGAGAACGGCCTTTCAGTATCTAAAGGGGAGCCACAGGAAATGGCTTCAAGAGGGTAGATTTAGGTTGGATATAAGGAAAAGGTCTTTTACAGTGAGGGTGGTGAGGCAGTGGAACAGGCTGCCTGGAGATGTGGTTGATGCCCCATCACTGGTGACTTTCAAGGCGAGGCTGGATTGGGCCCTGGGCAACCTGACCTAGCTGTGGTGTCCCTGTTCATTGCAGGACTAGATGACATTTAAAGGCTCCTTCCAACTCTAAGGATTCTATGATTCTATGTTTCTATAATGCACAGATATTCACAGAGATATATTTTTCTCTCATCTAGATCTACTTTAATGTTTAAGATAGCACATGAAAGCATTTTTGAACAGTTCAGTGGAGACCACAATTACTGTTTAAAGCCAAGAAGCTCGCCAAGTTAAAAGTATGACTGAAGTTTTGGCACCTAGTCAGCACGCCTACCACATACTAAAGCACATACTGCCTGCCTTAAGCTAACCCTATCAAGTACATTAATTAACACTTTCCAAACATGTGTAAGCAAATCCACTGCTAATCTTCTGAGAATATGCCGATAAATTTCAACACCACATTTTTACAGCGCAATGTTTGCTTCGCCTTCCTTCTTTACTAATAAAGTTGGAGAGGAAAAATGACTGCTAACAGTTGAAAAAGAATTGCTTTTTCAGTCATTACTGCCATGTGAGATTAGCGGACCTGGAACAAGCATGTTACTAAACTTCCCCATTTACATCTCAGAAATTCTTTTAGCTTAACTCCCATTTTCCTTCATAGGGACCCTTCACTGAAGTCAGAAATTCATACCTCCAGTTCTATAAGTGCTGCAGTCACTGCATCTGTTGCAAGAGCACCAGCCTGTAGCTTTTCGATAGCCTGTAAAACAGAATTTTCAGTTGATTATTAGGAAATTCTAATATTCTTCAGCTAAGTCCTATGTTTTCCTAGATCTGTAGAAAGAGAATATTCATTAAATTAGGATTAGATCTAAGAGGACATAAAAACAAGCTGGCATATTCCACATGAGGATAGATCTGATGCCTTTTTAAAAATCAGATATTCCAACACTGCATTTAGTAACAGATTTTTGCAGGATCAAATCTGTAGCAAAATATGTTCTTATAACTGCATCCTTAAACATAATGATTCAGTCAGGGAGTTCCTAATTTTCCTTCCAAGATTCAACAACAGTCTCTAATACTATATATGGCAACTGTCAAGAAATTGAACATTATCAACCTCACCTAGAAGCCAATGCATGAAACAAATCATATAAGAGAGTGTTATCTCCAGATTATATACGTGCATCCACATTCAAACACACACACAAATAATTCTAGAGCCTATTTTTTATATTATAGTATGTATGTATGTATTATTTATATATAGTATGTGTGTATATATATATATATATATATATATATATATAGATAGTATATATATATATATACACACACAGTATTGTTTCCCAGATCCAGACTGGTAAGACCTTACATTCAAGTTATCTCAGGGAACCACCTGACAACAACTGTGGCTGCATCTTTAGTAGAAAAACAAACCTGCGACTGTTTGCTCTTCATACAAGTAATTAATGTTGGCTACTGAACTTAAGGAACCAAACAGAATCTCCAATTAGACTCGCATTCAACAGCAAACAACCTCATCTCACACATAATTAGCTGGAAAATTAGTATCATCAGGGCTAGAGCACAATTTTAAGGAAGCTGATGTTCAGTTTGGATGATTTTTCAAGTTTCTCATTACAAAATTACATTGGTATTAGGATTGAGACACAGAACTTCAAGATGAAGTGTTAATAATTATTAGACTCCAAGTCTGAAAAGCACTTCTGAAAGGCCTGCCAGACGCCCCAGCAAGCTCTCTCTGGAGAAAGAAAAAGGCATTAGAAGTTTTGGAGATAAGTCTTCCAGCTTCTCATTCAGCTCTTAGCACACAGAAGCTGCCAACTCCAAAGCTAAGTTCTCAGAAGAGATTAAAATATATATTTCAATGGAAATTAAAATCTTTTCATTGCTTCTTTTACAGCTTTGGAAACTTAATTTGTTTCTTTGGTCATTTGTTTTTTGTTGTTTCTGTCCTTCTTACCTCCCCTCCCATTAACAAGTTAAGAGCCATCAAAAAAAAGCAATTCTATAAATTCTTGTATTTATTGAGCAATTTGGATGCTAGTCAAAATAAATTCCAAAAAGACTGGACACTGACGAAGAAAGATCCAGGCACTACATTCAACTCCAGAAATCCCAGAGCCACAGGAAACTCTTATGAACACCCTGTGAATTATGAACTGTTCCCCAGTTCCTTTTTCTTTGGTGTGTGGTATTTGCCACCACAAATGACAATGTTGCTGCACCTCCATGCACTCTACCAAGTCTGAATAGTAGCCATGTTAGCTGTTGCTACTCCTTTTTTTCCTCTAGAAATACATTCAGTCACAGCAGCTAAACCAAGGTATGTCTATTCATACCAAAGAGACAGAGCTCCCAAATACACTTCTTACATGCCCTCTGCAGGACTACGGAGCTGGCAAGACATACCTTCTGGCAGGCCCTTTTGCACACATGCTTGTATTCTTTAGCTTTGGATTCAGAATGATAACCTGCACCTACAGTTAGGGAAAAGGAAAAGAGATTATACCTCTTATCTAACTATTGGCTACAAACAGCAGCAAGAATTACGACACCAGCAGAGAAGAGACATCCTTACTCGGGATTACGTTGGCACTCCTTTTTCATATTAGAAACTGACAACATTATGCATTCAAGTAGACTCAGTAAAATACAGGGGACTGAGCTCACACACACGAGTACACACATTTAAATCATATAATCTGCTCCTATGAACACTCTCCAAGAGATTACAGATTAGTGCATTCTTAGAGACCAGCACAGCTATTTTATTTATTTGAAATCAGTGTGCAACAAAAAAAAAGGTTTGGTTTTAAGGAAAACTCCATTTTTCCTTTCCCTGCAGAATGACAAGTTGGTCAGTTACCACTGTGTTCATTTTCTCCTGTATGCACTGCATTTTCAGAGCTCTGTACTCTACAGCTAGGAGAGGTTCATGAAACAAAGACCAGGTTTTTTTCATCTTATTCTATCCTGCTGCATCCAACCACTCTGCTGCTTTTTGTCACTGTCCCCTATTTCAAATTCATCAGGCTCTTATGTGACTAAATACGTTATCAGAAAAATAGCTGACAAGTTTAGTACACTGATTTTTAGATTTCATTTTGTTTTGGTTTGGTTTTTTTATTTAAAAAAAATTGTATTACGTTATTTGTATTTATCTCAACTTCATTTCCTCACCTTTATTAAAAGCCAGTTACAAGAAATTGATGAAATTAGTTTAAACACTACCAGTAAAAAAAATAAGGAATTTAAACCAGTAAAATAACACGGTAAAGAGCAAGATATCGATCAGTTCAATTCACTCTTAAATAGAACATGAAAATCTTTCACTATCAACCCAGATAAGTTCTACTAACTGCCAAATTTAAGGATTTTCTTTTCTATAGAGAGCAAATACGCATAATGATATAGATATGCATCATTCAGAACATCCAAAATCACATTTTTAGTACTAGTTTCTCCAGCCAATGCAATCAAACTCTCCACTTATATATTTACATCCAAAGTTCATGCCACTTCATTAACATACTAATAGACGAAAGCCAATATGATACTTCAGTTGATCTTTAGCGTGTGTACAGACTATTGCAGTTCCAGCTGTTATACCTCTACACCTTACCTGCATGAACAAGCACAAATCCCACTCGTTTCCCTCTTTGGGTCTGCTTTGTTTCGGGCTCTTTGACCACCACTTTTACAGCTGTAACCTGAGATGATTTGGAAGGTAACACTTCTACGGAGCTTATCCCCTTCTCCATGATCATACATTAGGATCAACATCTTCTACTGGAAAAGAGCATGCTTCCATTCAAAAAGAAATTCTGGAGTAGAGTCATCCTAAAACCAAATCACATGCATACGTTGGATACTGATTTCCAACAGACATATTTCACATAAACCAACATCAGCAAGAATTTCTGGGAGACAGGTTGGAATGAAAGAGCACACGTCTGCTAAAAGAAAGGCTTCTAAGTTCTCTCTCTTCCCTAGTCAGAAGTCTTCATGCGACTTAAGATAACCAATTCAGTTGAAAAAGTAGGTGATGCAAGTTGAACACAAACTGCAGGCTTCTGGGAAGAGACTTAACTTCTACCTAGCCAACTTCCCAGACAACTTTAGAGATTAGCTGATCCAAAGCTTGCCCACAACATAGAAAAAGCTGCTCTCCACGGTCTCCTTTTGTTTAACATTAAAACCTATTAAAACCCAGCAAGATTAATTAGTTCCTAACCCAGTGGTGTTTCCACAGGCACAACCCATACCTCTTTAGAGCGAAGATCCCAGCTGATGCTGAAGATCCTAAGCAGCACTACTACAACGCCAGCAAAAGCCAAAACGTTTGCACAAGAGTTTTATGCGTGACCTGCACGACTCGCTGCCCTGAAGCCATACACCACATCCACCTGCGTGATGCCGTTACATTAAGAGGTAGAAACTGCGTGTTAACACAGAGCCAGCAGTCATATAAGCGGCTAGCACTATTTCCACCCAAGCGCAGCACACGAATAACAGGCAAAAGAAACTTTTATTGGGGAAAATTCCCGGAAGGACGAAGCGTGGAACCCCCGCATGACCGCCGCCTCGGGTCCTGGCCCGGTGATACCCGAGGGCCACGGGCCCGCCGTGATCCCGCCATCGCCGTGGCAACGCGCAGAGGGGCGGGGCCGCCGCGCGGGGGTGACGTCACCGGGAAGCCCGCCCCGCCGGAGGCGCGCGGAGAGCAGCCGCCCGCGCGGCCGTTACCGCCCCGCAGCCAACAGCGGAGGATCGGGGGAACGAGGAAGGGGACGGGGGAGAGCGGGCAGGCGGGAGAGGCCGGGCCGAGAGGAGGCGGGGATCGGCAGGCTAAGGCGGGGCAGGGCGGACCCAGGCGCGCAGCACTCACCCGCCGACGCCGTCAGCCTCGCGCACACCCGGAACCGTCCGCCCGCCCGTTGCCTCGGTGAGGATGAGGCGTCCCGCCCCGCTGCCTCCCTCCCATTGGGCGCGGCGGGCCAGGCGACCGGAAGTAGCGTCGCGTAGGGGAAGCGGCCGATTGGTGGATGGAGCGGGAAAGCCCCGCCCTCCGTCGCGAGGGCGCCAACGGCGGGGCGCGGAGGTGCGGCCGGTGCTCCGGCCCCAGGCACCCTGCCGCTGCCCGCCGCGCCGCTCGGAGCGGAAATGGCGGCGAGGCGCCTCGTGTTCCCCGGAGGCAGGAAGCCTTGCTCCTACCGCTCCCCCTGCCGCCTTTCCTTAGGGCTGGTTTGTCATAGCCGCCCCCTCAGGCACATCGGCCAAAGCGGCTCCTGATGGCCACCTGCAATACAATGAAATGAAATTCACTGATATTCTGTGCGTTTCTGTCGGCAGTCGTGCCAGGCAGCTTTCGTGCTCCTCGGCTTCTCCCCCGGCCCGCCCTCGGCCTCTGCAGAGGCACGTGAGGTGCGGGCCTTGTGCTGGGACACCTCTGCCGCCTCTTTGGCAGCCCGTTCGGAAGCATGGCCACTTCCCGAGAATAGACTTTTCCCTGTATCCGACCTGAACCTCCCCTGGCTCAGCTTGAGGCCATTCCCTCTCATCCTATCACTGCTCCCTGGGAGAAAAGGCCGACCCCCACCTCTCCACACCCCAGCAGCTCAGTATTATATTAACGAACTTCTCATTCCTTCTCTCTTCCTCCTCGACAACAGAGAAAGGCAGAAGACAATGTACTGAAAACAGCCACAAAACACAGTAAGCAGGAGAAAACAGCGACAAACCTAAGTCGTTATCCCATGCCAAAAACTGTTAGTGTTATGTAGTTGAGGAGCTGTAAGCAAGGTGCATAACAAAATCTGGATGCTCTTTTTCAAGGGTTGGTTGTTTTGCTTTGCTTTGCTTTTTTACAGTTGGATGATTTTAGCAGCAGAATTTCAGTCTCATCAAGTGCCCTATATTAGACAGTGACAGCAAGATGTTTTTAGGTTTTACACAGCGAAATCAGTGTCATCGTGAATTGAGCAATCTCTTCCCCTTACATGACTGATTTGGATTAGATTTGCAACATAGTGCTTTTTTTTCCCTCACAAAGCATAATTTGAAGTTAAATATCCTTCTATGTTAGCTGATCTTTAAGCGGGTGCCTTAAGGAAGCACATTACACCATGCATAATATCTGTCCTTTCTCATTATTCACTACTCACAAACAATAGCATGAAAAAGCCTGGCCTTTCTAATTACTCATACACCTGTGCCTGACAGAAAACAGACCAAAAGATGCTAAAAAAAGCCCCATTTGGAGAAGACAACAAGTGAAGAAAGAAGCTCATGAATATTTTACCAACTGCAGTTTATACTTTTAATAGTTTCTTTGTCTGACCACACTCTTGGGTAAGTGGTGTCCTTAGTTATATAAATGCACTTGGATATAACTATGAACTGTTAACACATTTTATTCTATTTTAGCCACACTTCAGCACTGAGCCAGCTGTTGGCAACCAAAAATAATTTTTCAGTCATGCTCTTCTCTCTAATTAAGCTCAACTGGACCAAAAGACATTTAAAAAATATATATATATATGTAGTTAATTTTACAGTTAATTTTTCGCACAGTTTTGATATTCTTCTGCTGGAAACAGTAGATCCACTCATTTAATAGAAATGCTTTTGATCACAGACTGCCTGGTACTGTAGTCTGGAATAACTCCCTTAATTTCAGTGGAATTTAGCCAATTTACTCACCCATCAGATTGATCTTTCCAATTATTACTGATTATTCTGACTATTACTGATCTCAGAATTTTCCAGATGAAAGAAGAATATCTTCACGTGGCTCCGAAACAGAAGACAATCAAAACCAAACCAAATCTAAAAGAAACCCAAACTAATACAAAGCAATAGAAAAACCATAGCCCCCAACAACGTGGAGCCATTCTGCTAATATTCAGTACTCAGCACAAGATGCACCATTCAAAACCCTGCCAACACATCATCTGTTTTATTAGCAAAACTAAGAAAAATGCAGAGCCAAGTCAATCACACTTTTTTTTTCAATGCAACACAGCTTTACTAAATTGGTGGGAGAACACAGGGAACTTAAAGCGTAACTGTTTTGCCCTTGCAGTTAGCAGTGCAATTTAAAAGCTTTTGAAGACTAGAAACAGTGTGTAACACGAAGCAAAACGAATTACTTTATTAGCTACAAAACTATAGCTTTATTTTCAGAAGGAAAAATCCAAAAAGTTTCTTTCTGTGTTGTTCCGAAGTCTCCAAAATAAAGTTAATAATTCCCTTATTATTTTCTTCCCAATATTTTTTGTAGCTCTTTGTCTAAGTGAAAAACAAGTACTAGTATTCAACTTGCAGGCAAAGGGCATTTTCTAACTTGGAGAGTCTAGAAGCCTTTCCTTCAAGGCCACTTCTTGTCATTGCCAATGTCCAACATACTACATATATTGTTACAGGCATTTTTTGAGCAACAGAGAGAGATGAAGCACAAGGACTAAAAATTGCTTAAAATGTAAGGCAAGTAGATGCTTAAGAGATGGAAAAGCAAGCAAAACAGATGATCAGATTATATCACGTAATTTCCCTGGAGAGCCTAAGGAAAAAAACAAGTCAAAGCTTACACTTCAAGAGTCCCTAAGCAGACCTATACGTTCATGCAATTTGGCCGTGACTATATCTATTCTGAGTAATCACTATATCACTTGAAGGCACGTCAGGAAGAGAAGAAGGATGTTCCATAAGCATTTGACCCTTGTATGTCTTAAATCATGGGTTAATACTCATTAGGAGTGTTACCTCACACAGCATTGACCCTGCCAAAGATGGACTTCAGGGCTAAACAAAGCTTCAATTCCACTTTAGGCATTCATCTTTACATCCTCTATAAGGTCCTATGCACCTTTTGCTTCCAGTTTTCTCCACCCAATGGTCCTTTCTTGCAGCTAAGAGGTGCCACAACACCTGGCTGACTGTGAGCTACACAGATTTTGACCTTAGTATTGTCAAATCTCCTTGAAGTTGGCCAACAGGTTCAAATTAATAAAGGTATGCTGGCAGACTGATGGATGAGCAGTATGATCATAGAACCCTTCTTCCCTTAGAGGGGAAGCTAGAAGTGTTGTCAGTTCAGTCCTGCCTTCCTCTCCAGAACGGTGTTTCAAATCCAGATGTCCACTCTGCTTGTTTTGTGATGTTTCTAGTTAACTTAAGTTCTTCCTTGCCACTGGTGCCTATTTCCAAACTGGCTAAATATTCCTTATTTCTTCTTTATTTCTGATCCTTGTTTTTCCTCTATTTTTTCAGTGCTACTCCAACAAGAAGGTGATCTTGTTCTATAAATCATTCCTCAGCATACATATTTGAAATGAAAGGCTTCCTTTATTCTTTTTACATTTCCACCTGTACCTGGTTTTGGTCTTGTTCATCATCTCAGATTTCTTCTTGCACTTTGAGTTTTGAAGTGTACACTTCTAGTTTTATTTCCTATTGAAAAAGGTCTTATTTGCTGTGCTACTTTATTCTGAATAAGAATGTCAAGCAGAGAGGTTTCAGGGCTCTGAGCACCTGATCTAGTGTAGGTGCTTCCATTCAGGGGAGGTGAATGAGATGGCCATCAGTGGTCCCTTCCAAATCAAATGATTCTGTGATACTCAGATATGTTACTAGTTTGTTACAGTGATATCAACGAAGTAAAAAGAGAAGGAACAAAGCATCTGATACCTCTGATATTTACAACCTACTTAGGAGTGATGATTTTAAACTAGAAAGAACACGTAACTCCATTTAAAAATTTCAAGGCAGACTATAATTTGGAGCTGAAGATGCTAAGCTGAGGACCCTGGGAAAAAATGAAGCAGAAATAGAAATACTTAATGGAGATAAGAAAGATAGGCTTTTCATCAGAGTTCATATTTTATTGTTAATACTTCTTTTGATTTTTTTTTTTTACTGGGGCAAGTGAAAAAATTCTCTAAACAAAGAGCTTCTGACCTAACAAACCTATTTGATCTCCATTTTCAAACAGGAGGCATTCCAGGCAACAAATTGTTCAACCTTCACTTTGGGGTATTTTAGTGCTTTTGGAAGCATACTAAAGGACAGAAAGGCTGAGAAAAGACAGCAGAAGAGGAGGAAGAGAAAGAGACTTGCATCCTTCTATTCCCTTTGGCCCAGATGAGAGGGCAACCTCAAACAATACATTCAAAGACAGATTCTGGGTTGGAGCGCTGAAGCTATCTGGGAAGCAGCCATGTAGAACTAATAAATACATATAAATATATATAATTTCTTTTTTTTAAAAAACAGGAACATAAAAAAACAACCCTGTATCAACCATTCCAGTTCAGTTCAGGACCTTTGCAACTCTTTTCTACAGAAAAAGAAGCTGGATGAACTAGCAAGTATGAACTGAAATTGACGTCTGAAATTGACATCTTGCATGCACAAGGAGAACAGGATCCGAAGGCAACTGTAGAGACTGGAATCATCTGAGTGGAGACCCACTCAGATATTAGACTATTAATCTCCCTAAAAGACTGTCTGATCTTTGCAGGTAGCACAAGTAAGCCCCCAGTGTTTTCCAGGCAAGCTTGTTGTTTCCTCTGCAAATGAAGAGGCCCCTTCTTTGACTTCCAGACAGTAAAATAATACTTTTTCCAGATAAAGGGACTTTACATGAGGAAAATTCTCGAGCACCCTGAACTTGTCTAAATAGCATTCCAAGTACTCCTTTCTGCTCAAGACCCACGTTGCAGTTATTTCCAGTGTTGGTTCCATAGCATCTCAGGAAATGCTAACTTGGGAAGATTGCATTCCTCTCTCAGCCAGCTTTCACAGTTGTAAATAGATGGGGGCCAAATCCTAAGGCACAGGAATTATGAGAAATGATGTTTCAAATATGCATTCATCAGCCGTTGCCAAAATAACCACCAGCAGTAAATCCCCGCAAGGTTTTGTCTTTATTCCTCAAGTA